AAAGCCCTGAGATCCGACAAGTCAATTGTTATCCTTCCTGCAGACAAAGGACGTATGACAGTCATAATGGATAAGGCAGACTATATTGAGAAAACAAAACGACTTCTGAACGATACAAGCACATACAGGCGCATTAATTACGATCCGACATCGCAGCTAACAAACCAAATAAACAGAACGTTGCATAAACTACAACAGTTGAAAGAAAGTACAGAAATTGAAAGGAATAAAATGAGAGCGTGTGACTCGAACATCGCCCAATTCTACGGGCTCCCAAAAGTACACAAAGAGGGTGCTCCGTTGCGGCCAATTGTCTCACTTCCAGGCACACCCATCTACAACCTGGCGAAGGAATTGTGGAGGCGCCTCAAAACATCTACTCCACGGTTCGCAGCACGCCGTAAACAACCCCAATCAATTTCTAGAGAAGCTCAAGGACTTGCATATAGATCATGACGAAACGATGGTCTCCTTCGACGTCACCGCTTTATTTACATCTGTCAATTTGCAACTGGCAAAAGAAACCATCATAGAACGCCTGAACAACAGAGATGAGAAAATGGGGAGCATGACGACTGCAAGCATTTGCAAGCTTCTCCAACTATGCCTCACAACTTACTTCTCGTTCAACGGAGAGATCTACGAGCAAGTGAAGAGAGCACCGATGGGATCACCAGTATCAGGTCTGATCGCTGAGATCGTCATGCAAAATTGGAAGAAGATCTACTACCAGCTATTAACCCAAAGTTGTGGGTACGCCATGTCGACGGTACATTTGTAATACTGAAACGCAGTGAAGTAGCAATCGCACACCAACTGCTAAACAGTGCAATGGATGCGATTCAGTTTACAATGGAGTTAGATGCAGAAAACATGCTCGCATTCTTGCATGTGTTGGTGACCAGAACAAATGATGGTGAATTTCAAACATCCGTTCACAGGAAAGGGACACATGCGGATCAAATTCTGAACTTCTATAGCAACCATCCAAAGTGCCACAAAATAAGTTGCGTGAGGACACTAGTTTGCAGGATAGAAACATAATACAGTACAGTGGAAGCCAAACGGGAAGAAGAGAAACACCTATTCGATTCGTTCGAGAGCAATGGATACCCAC